AGAGGGTAGTGAGGCACTGGAACAGGTTGCCCAGGGAAGCTGTGGATGCCCCATTCCTCAAAATGTTCAAGGCCAGATTGGATGGAGTCCTGAGCAACCTGGTCTCGTGGGTGGCATCCCTGTCCATGGCAGAGGGGTTGGAACTACACAGTCTTTAAAGTCCCTTCCAAACCAAGCCTTTCAATGATTCTATGAATATCAAATACCCGAATAACAAATACTATACTTGCCAGATGAGCCCTCAATATTGCATAGCTAATCATCAAAGTATGGCCTACTCACCAAATAACCAGTATGCTATCATGCTTTTAACCTTTATTTGTGTTATGTAATCTGAAAAGGTATGGAAGTATTAAGTGTTTATCCAGGAAATTTGCAATAGTAATACTTGACAAAAATATGCAGTTCCAGGATCACAACAGTATCAGTCAACTCTAATTGCTATGTACATGAAATAGTACTAATAGAATAAATTCTGTATTATATCTTTGCATTGTTCATAAGACTATCCAAGCTGGAGTACAGTGTCCTAGCTGAGAGGTATGTCTACTGTGCAGAAGTCTGTCATGCCCCCTAATTGTGGGTGCATGCTGTGACATTTCTCAGCGCAGGGGAAGAGCATTCTGCCAACATGATGGATCTGGATCTGATGAGAAACTGCTTTGGCAGTCGGGATGGTCAGAGTAATGCAAGTGTCTGGCTGCATTTGTCTTCTCAAAATGCAGACAAAAGGTCAGATTTAGTCTGCTCTGCTTATAATAGAAAAATAGGTGCTTATTATCTTACATATGTGTAGTTATACTGCCAAGAAATGATACCAGTATAGTTGGCAATGGCAGTACCTGTTAATTGTTACGTGCCTGTGTGAACACTTCAGCTGGAATGGGGAGCACCTGGATTGAAGCAAATGCTCTACTTATTTACAGCTGCTCTCTTCCCATACCTCAGGCATCTAGCTTTGTTTTTATCAGATGCTGACAGGTTTTCTGCTCCCACATTGCCCCTTCACGTTCTCACTTTTCCATGCAGCTGTTTTGCACAAAACTAAGAGGCAGCAGTGGGCAGGTCTCAAGGCAGGGAAGTTTGGGTGTTACCCATACTGCTTGAGCACACCTGCACTTCTTGTTTGTGGGTGTGTTTGCTGAAGGGGAAGGTAATGAAAAGTAGATGCTATCAGTTTTACAAAAGGTGTTCTATTTTGATTTGTAACTGTTGGTCATTGTGTAAGCTGATAATAATATGCATAGCTATGTTAAATCCTGCTAGGCTCCTCCTCAAAATGTCCTTCTTTTCAAACCAGTAAGGTCAGCCAGACCTTCCACTTACTCCTGGTGGCTTCCTGACTGACTGTATTAGTCAGCATATGAAGTGCCATGTTTAATTCTCATCATAGATTCTTATTTCTACCTTGACAGTTTTGAGGTTTGTGTTGTTGGTTTTGTTCTGGTTTTAGTTAGTTTTTTCTTTGTTTTGTTTTAAAGAAGTCATTATTGTACTATTTCATTCACTGGCTACTATTTCTGGTAGCTGTTGACTGTTTTATAAACAGTTGAGAGAGTAAGGCCAGCTTTGGAAGGTAGACCTTTTTGTGAGGTGTTATTGCTGCAGCAGAGTGCCCTAGAGGGTAAAAGCTTGGAGGTGATCTGAACATATAATTTTTTTCCTGTTATGCTCTTTGCAATTGATTTTAAATATTTGTCAGATACTTAAAAGGAAATACATTCTCTCTGACTAGTTCCTCATAATTCACAGTACTAGGTCATAGAACATTTCCCTACCCCCATTATTTACCATACAAAATGATTGTTTTATTTTTAAAGAATAAAAGGCAGTGTGGCGAAAAGGGTACAACTCTCACAATCATTAGCCAGTTTGCATAAAGGAAAAGCAAATATAGCTGGTAGCATAAACCCATTCATTTCCTCTTCAGCTAAGCTTGTTTTCTACATTTGGTTTTACCCAGATTACGTAATCTAGTGTTTAAATTACTGAAGTTTATGTTTCATGTCTTTTAAAATTATCAATCCCATAACATATAATAGCTTGTTTAATAGTGGGGCCTAAAACCCTGAGTCCTGTTTAGTCCCATATTGTATAGAGGCAAACATAGAAACGTGCTCCTTCCTGAGGGATTCATGGTCTAAATGTATGACAAGGCAAAAATGGGAAGCAGATGGTCACATACATGTGAGAGAAACAATCAGCAGAGGAGCTATATGTCAGTCAGTAATTGTGTTAGGCTAAGCCTGAGTGGGGATCTGTGTTTGGCAACACAAGTGGAGCCTCAAATTAGTTATAGCCAATTTTTATGTAACAGAGGGACTGTGTCTGAAATGTCAGTTTTCTTGAGAGTTAAAGTGTCTCTATGTGATTCTGTGCGACTGTGCACTTTGGAGAATGGATTATTGGGTTCCAGCCCTTCACCTGAAAATCCTTGGTTGTACCCTATGTCTTTTTAAAACCTTTAACATAGAAACAGCTCTAGAATCTGGTCTTGAGATGGGCTGCCATAGGTCTACAATTCACAAAGTTCCCTTGCTTATACTTTGCTCTTTTCCGAGTGGCAGGCTTGAGAAAACTGCTTAAGAGCATGCCATCAAGGATATGATTTTGATAGCTGTGAATGTATCTTACTGACTGAGGGTCAAACTGAGATGGGGATACTAATTTATGATGGAATTCTATAACTCTTTGAATATGGTGTAAAGCAATCACTGCCTTCTCTGTAGTTTTGACTGGGACTTGATGTGGGTGCTGTCTTCTGGCCTGAAAGTCACTTTTTCTTAGATTTCCATTTACAGAATCAACTGATATAAGCCTGCTTAAATATAGAAGTACTTTCTAGATGCAGATTGTTTCTCAACCGCATATATATATATATATATATATATATATATATATATAGGCTTATTTTTTTAGCCTCCTGGAATAATTCTGTGCAGATTTATGGATGCTGTTATCAATGAGAAATCCTACTTGGGACATTAAAAAAATCAAAAATGTCAGACAGTGAGCATGAAAGCTACAGCATTACTGCTGTAAGATTTAGTCTGTGAGAAAAAATTGACAAGTCAGAATGCTTCCTAAGTATATTCTGAGGTCATTTGTTCTGTTCAGCCTGGAGGATACTGAGGGGGAGACCTTATTGCAGTCTACAGCTTCCTTGTGAGGGGGAGAAGCAGACACTGATCTTTCCTCAGTGGTTATCAGTGACAGGACCCGAGGCAGTGGCCTGAAGCTGTGTCAGGGAGGTTTAGGTTGGATGCCAGGAAAAGGCTCTTCACCTAGAGGGTGGCTGGGCACTGGAACAGGCTCCCCGGGGAAGAGGTCACAGCCAAATCTGAGTGTTCAAGAAGCATTTGGACAATGCTTTGGGCACACGGTGTGACTTGGGGATGGTGCTGTGCAGGGCCAGGAGTTGGACTCAATGATCCCTGTGGGGCCCTTCCTACTCAGCTTATTCTGTGCTTCTGTGGTTGTGCCATGTACATTGCCAGACAGTGCCACTCACGAGCAGCATAGCAGCACTCTGTACACTATGAAATCAAGCTCTTTGTTGGCCCATCTGCTGGAAGCTGTTGCCTCTTGTATTTGCCTCTGAGTTCTGTGCAAAAATGATTTATTTGACCTCTGCAGAAATTTTGGGCCAAAGATAACAGAATCTTTAAAATAGGCTGTTGAAGGACTTTGAATCTTTAGGTGACCTTGGTGAACAGAGTAAGACAGAAAAGGAGAGAGAGGTGATCTCATATGTTTTAGATATTGTGAAATTCTTGTAAGTTAAAGTGAAACTTAGGAAATCAGCAATGAAGTCTAAGCAGATTAACTCCTGTAATCCTGTCATTCTATTTTATTAAATCTCTTGGTTGCACATCAGTTCTATGGAAAGGCTCAGTGCTTCTTTGTTTAATTGTTTTTTTTTTCCCTGTTGAGTCTTTGGAAGTGGGTATGAAGAAAAGCTGCTGGAGTTTAGCAGTATGCCATACATTTTTACTTCAGGGAGCAATATTCTGAAAATAGACTTGGATGTCCATGGAGATTTCTTCAAATAAAGGATTAGAGTGTTCTGTGTACATGTGTTTGGGCAGGATTTAGGCCAGGCAGGATATGTGATCTCAGCTCTGGTATTCAGCTGTAGCTTGGTGTGCCCAAAATTCATCTTGTCCTGAATATTTCAGATGCTTCTCATTTGTTTATATCATATGAAATATTGCCAGTGGCAGGTATTGTGGTAGCATTGTTGTTGTGCTCAGAACATCAGCCTCTCTTAATACCAATAAAATTGGATAAAGCCATAAGCAGTTAGAATGAGTCAATGATTCTCTTTTGTAAAAGCAAAAGTAAAAAACCCCAACCCAGCAAAAACTACACCCTTGCACCCGTGAAAAAGAAACCAGCACCAAAACAACCCCAAACAAAACAAAATCCCCCCTAAAATTCAACATATTGGCCATGTAGATTTCCTAACATTGTCAGGAAGTTGTGCTTTTATGTTTGACCATTTGATGGCGTAACCTGCAGCTTTTTATAGGGCAACTGTCGGAGGTCAGTGTGCTCTCCCTCTCAAACCAAATTAATCCTTTGTTTTCTAATTAGTTATCTTTTCCCAAATCCCCCTCTTTCCTCTGCTTGCCTTCCATTCTTCTTGTTCTTTCCATAGCACTTGCCTGCACTTTCACATTTTCTCTTGCCATTTTTCACCTGTGTTAACTGTCTTAGATGGAATCAATTTTTTACTCCTGTATTTCTTCTCTACCGTGTCTTTCTAAACTTCAGAGTGGAAATTGGCAAGCTTTTATTTGCTGCATCAGGAAACTTATGGGTTGGAAAGAAACACGGTTCTGTTCTGGCACTAGTGCTTGTAGCAGCTGAGTGTTGTCATTAGAAAACACTGTGGAGTATTGTAGAGAGAGATGGTTTATGTTGTGGAATGCTGAAGTTACAATAGTGAACAGCCAGTCATTTTTAAACCTACACAAGGAGAAAAAAAATAATCCTACCTTTCCAATTGTACTCCATCGACTGCTTGAAAGATTTGTTTTAAATGTCTTGGTCCTGCAAGAGTAAAACACTTTGCAAGTGGTTTCTTCACGTGTACACATAAGTAAGAAGGAACCTCTGAGGTATTTACTGTCTACTGCAACAATGTGGAAATAGGACAACCCCCTCTTGGTACCATTGTGAATTTTAAATTTAGACAGTGATCAAATAAATCACTTGAATAGTATGCTCATCCCCTTGAGCTGAACTGGAATGCTAACCTGCTTAAAGTGAGCATAAGCTTTGCTACAGTGGATTAGGACTCATGTGAATTGTTTAAACAACAACAGTAAAATTACAAAACTTTCAAATATGCAGAGACCTTTTTTTATTATGAGACTTTTTTTCCTATGTGCTTTCTTTTTTTTTTTTTCTTTCCAGAAGCCAGGATATTTATAGTATCAGTTAAAAGTTCTTGTGTGCTTGTCAGAACTTCACCCTTCAGATTTTCACAAACTTTGAAACTTAAGAAATGCCTCTGGCATTGCAATAATATTCTAGATATTGGTAAAGCTGTTGTTCTTTCAGACGTGTGCTCCAGCTAAATGGAAAGCTCAGCAAATTGTTTTACATTAAGAATTTCTAAAGAGACAAATAAATTAATGAGATAATTGTGAATTAGAGTATAACAATACTGAAATGCAGATGCTTTTTCTCCTTTAAAAATACAAATATTTCAAATATTTTCAGTATTCCTTGTAGTGAGCTGGTGTGGATTTGTGTGTGCATGCAAACCTATAAGGACTATGAATCACCATGTCGAGCTCACTTCTGTGACATGAGCAAACTATTTTGCTGTGGGTTTTAGAAATTGGGCTGTGCACTTTGTTTCATTCTCAGCATCTCTGCATGAGTGACAACTTGAAAATTCTCAGTGTAGCTTACATTAGAAACTATAAGTCCACACAGTGTTAAGTTTGCACCATTCTTGAAACCTACAAGGCTTTTCTTGTAAGAGAGTGAAGTTTTTGTTGTCCTTGAGATCCCTTTCAGCAGAACACTCCTAGGATCTGTCAGGGTAGTTCATTCCTCAATTCAGCATCCACAGGCAATGGGGCTGGGGTGGGAAAGTACAAGGCAACAAGGATAGTACAAGCAACATGGTCATCTCTGCTGCTGCTGTTTTTGCTATCCTCTCATTGCATACATAGTCTTTACAGTTATAGTTCTCATAATTTATGGATAAACTCTAACTAGTTCTTATCAAATTTCACTATCTAGCTTCCAGGTTTGAAAGTACCCCTGCTGTATGGTTGTAAGTTTCATGGTTGCTGTTTGCCTACAAATTCAAGAGGACAGCATTGCTTAGTGTCTGACCCATGGGTGACATTTAGAAGACTTTCTATTAAAGGCCTGAAATATGATTGAAACCTAAATGCAAATTTAAGTGGCCTGGGTATCTGATGTGACTCATTGCTAAGGAGAAGCTGGATTCATTCAGCCTCGATGCACTATGTTGCTGTTTTGCCCTTAGAGCAAGTCACTTAAGGTGTCCTCTATGTCACCATTTCATATCCTTCTCAGAGCTTAATATTTGTGCTGCACTTTGAAGATTTATAGCTCTATTCAATCATACTATACTGTTGCAAAGGGTTGAATGTTTTTGTGCATCTGTTAAAGGTGTGAAGTACTTTATGTGAAGTGAATAATAAAGCTTATGAAGAATGAATCATGATGTGTTCCTGTTTTTATGCAACTTTTTACTGTGGTCATTTTATGCCCTTTTTGCATTCTATTTTTTATATAGGCATGATTAGTTAATTAGTTATAAGATTTCTCCTTTTCATTTTTGTTCAGATATCTAACAATCTTGCTTGCATTATAATTCTGTCTTGATGTCCTTATTTGTTTTGTATAAGCCATGGCCTAAACATTTATGCATACAGTGAAAGTAAATGAAAAACAAAACCCATGGTCCAGTTAGGAAAGGATGCAGATTTCATTTTAAAAATTCAAAAGAGGTAGCTTGTTTAACTAAACTTTCGAGTGCATTCTTAAGTGCTGTAAATTCCTTTTGTCTGTTTGTACTGAAGTAGTTGGTTAGCTATAGAGTTTTCCTTTAATTTATTAGTTTTGTTTATTTTGAATCTTCTAGGAAATTCTTATAATTCTGTAGATATGTAAAATCAAAATGCCGAAAAGGAGAGCTGCTGGGAGTCACAGCTACTGGTAAGTTGTCAGCTTATTGTTGTCACTCCTTATATCATGTCCAATGATAACTGATTTGATGGTCAGCTTCTGTCTGACGTGTGTATAATTGGCTTTTGACCCAAAAGTAAACAAACTATTCTGTATTTGTTCTTAAACTTAAGTTTAAAGTATCTTTCTTTCCATTGTATTTGGATATTTTTCCTTTTGTGCTTGCTGGTGATAGTTTCAAGCATGGCTGTTAGTCCTATATATTGCATTCAGACATCTTAGTTAAGTATTCTTTGTACCATCATCTTTGCTTAGCAACATCCTTTCTGAGATATTCTGGGAAACTTAATACTTGTCTGGTGTGTAAAACAGTGTTCATAAATCAAGGTATGTTGCCATATCCTTCTTGCTTATGTTGTTTAATAGTTTTTATATTACTCTCTGTGAGCCAGAAGTGTGAAGCATGAAGCCTTATACACCTAGTCACTCCAGCTTATTACACAACACAATTACCAGTGAGACCCAGTCTTTGGAATATGGCTTACCATGCTGGTGTAGCTTGTTCAAGTGAAGAGTGTCTACGTGGTTGTCATGGATCCAAACAGCAAGTAGCTTTCACATTCCAAAATAACCTGGAATTTAAACAAAATCTTTTGGCTCTCAGAAGCTCATATTAGCATTTTCCATTTCATTTAGTTGCTGAAAACATGCTATCTCAAAGTCATAAAGCCAAAATACAAATGAAATTCTCTCAACCTGCTTTGACATAGCCATAGGTATGCTCCAGATCCTGGGTGTGTTTTGTGCTGAACAAAATTAACCTTTTTGATGCAGTTATTTGAGCACCTTCTTGTGCTGCTCTTGAATCTCTTTCTAGGCTTTTGGTTTTAAAAGTTGTGCTTGTCCTCCACTGGAAAGGTGCATGGGATGCTGCATTCTCTGAGCAGGCTGGACAGTTGTCACTCTGATCCACCCCTGGCCGTGCTCCATTCGGAGCTCCCACTGTGAAGCTTTCAAGCACCACACACAGCCTCTCCTTGCACAATGTGTGAAGAGATGAGCACTTTTCCTAAGAAAGGTCTCCCTCACCCTAGGGATCAAAGAGAACTAACAGTTTACTCAAACAATACAGGGCTTAACTCTTTCTTTCTGGAAATCATAACTTGCTCTTCCAAGCTGAGCGGAGTGGTTGTAGACACTAGGTGTTTTCTTTTGTTGATAAAAGGTGTTAGAATTCTATGCTGTCCCCTAGAGTTTCACCAAATGTTTAGCTATCAATAGTGGTTTTAATTGCCCATTTAATTCAAATGCCCTGAGATTTGCATTTTCCTTATAGTTTCCTTCCCTTCTCTAACAACCTTGGCCCCTGTGCTTTTGTGGTACCATTCAATTATTTTCTCTGCTGTAAAGTCTGTTGTCCAATAGCTTTTTTAGCAGCTCTTTTTGGTGAGTTCAATTCTTCATTGCAATTTAATTTTCAGTGGAACAAACCTCTGATTTCCATGCATTCTTTCTGATTGTGCCCATGTGTTTCAATATGATTGTTTACATATGGTTGTGTTAATGTCCTCTCACTGCATTTTCATGGTAAAAATCTGATAATCTTTCTAGGAGTGGATTCAAAGCCTTTAAGATTCTGTTCTAAGTTTAGGAAAAAGAGCAGTTTTGTGAAATCAAAGCTGAATTTGAAAATCCTGGATTGTTTCTATGAATGCTTGTAGTGAAGAAACAATCTTCCAACTGTCAAACTGCACACTTCTCTCTTAGACTCTACAGGGATGAAAAGAAGGAAATGTAGGTAACTAAAGTTGTCTTAGGTCTTGGTCCATTGAAGGAATTGAGGAGGAAGACAAGTGAATAGTCAGTTTTCTTAACAAAAACTACATATGAATTATAATCATGTTGAGGTTATTTATTCTGTCAAACTTTTCTTGAATTTAATTTTTTTTAATATAGCAGTATGTCAGCTCTTGAATTCTGTCATCACACTGCTCCTTGTAAATAAGAAACTTGTCACCAACAGCATGAAGAATGTTAGCAGGTGAGATGCTCTGCACCAGTTAACATTTAATGAATACTGTTTAACTTGACAAATCTCCTTGAAGCACCTCATCAGGACTGAAAAGGCACAGGTTGTTTCCTGAGTGGTAAAAACTAGCTGACAAAATGAGAGATCTTTATTCACAGCTGAAAATAGGCTATTTGAAAGAGCTCTGTGGTCTTGACAGTTGTACAAGAGTTTTCTGGAGGACTGCTATCTTTCTAATAGCTAAGGCACCTTGGGATAGTGTTGTCTGTTTAGTTGATTCTGCAACCCAGTATCATGTGCCCATTCATGCCTGGCTAGAGGTTCTTAGTCACAGCAATCTGTTAGTGAGGCCCCTTTGGGTCACTGGCAGAAAGAGTTTTATGTTCTGTTTGCTCCACCACTTTTGTAGACCATGCTGGTTACTTTATATTTCTTCCTGGTAACTAGTGATCATGAGCTGCTTTAGATGGCAGTATCCTTGTTCCTGGCAGGCTTTCTGCTGTCTGGACTATGAATCACAACAAAATAAATTTGCCTTATGTTTTACCGAGTGTTTTATAGAATCATAAAATAATTGATTGAAAGAAAGGTCCAGTGTTCTGGCCCAGCCCTTCACTCTGTCAATATAGGTCAATATAGGCCTACAGCATGATATGAAACATGTAACACCCAGGTTCAGCTCATTAATGTATGGGAAGCTTTGATCTTTTTGGCCACGTCTGCAGAAGCAGCATATGGCTCTGCTGGGCAGGTAATGCAATGTCAATATAATCTGTCTGTGTTTATATAGTTCTTTATTAGTAAAAATCTCACAGGAGCCAGGGGAGAAAGTTCAGCACCCAAAATTTTCCACTTCTGTAAAAATTTCCTGTTCCTAGCTTGGATGTTAAGTGTCTTCTGATTGCTTACCTCCAGCTTTCAGTCCCAAATGCTAGTGATCTGCCTCCTGCTTAAAGAACCTAGAAGAAGAAATAAATACACTGTTGTATTGCTGTATATTTGTATTTGCATATATCATTATATGCAACATAGAGACATTGATATTCCCTTTAGAAGGGAGTATTTCTGGCAATTTCCCTAGGTCTGTTATTAGAGAAAGTTTTTTGTTTTGCTTTGTCGATTACACTGTTCTACAGGTGTTACTTTCTCATTTTAGACTTTTTCTTGCAGGACAAGTAAAATAATACTGGATAAGAAATGTTTTATGACTGGAACCTCTTACAGCTCTATCCTACAAGTAGCCTAGGCAGGCACAGAGATGTTGTGGTACACACACAGTTTCAGTAGATACTATTCAGCCAGTGTGCTAATCCCACATCCTCTGAACAGAGAGAGACATAGTTCTCCCAGGATTTTCCTGAGAAGCTGTGAGAAAGCTCAGAGGAAAGAATGAGAAACAATTCTTATCTTCACTTGCTGCACCTGTTGTTGTGCACATGTGGAATGTGTTATGGAGATTTGTTTACCAAAAGGTGATTTCTTGATGGTTCATTGGTGATGGTGTTTGGATTGGTCTACTGTATTGGACTGTCAGTAAGGGTGATGAGTTTTCTTAATAACGTAGTATAATACAATAAAGTGATTGATCAGCCTTCTGGAATCATGGAGTCAATGCTAATTATTACCTGGCAGGGACCCCGGCTACAATAAGCCAGCACTGAGAAACCATGACAGACAGTTCTCTACATGGAACAGGTATTTTTCTTTCTTTGCAGAAACTGAGGATGTGCAGCCTTTTGTGTGTTTAGAATCTGAGAAATTAACCAATCCAGATGCTTCAAAATTAATTAATGAGAGTGAGTGAGCAAAACCATTTCCTGCAGCTGTCAGTGCCCATAAATCATCTTTTTTTTTACTTTTGAAGCAAGACAAGAGCATGAATTTAATTAATGGGTTTGACTTTCTCTGGAAACACACAGTAGAGAAATCACCCTACCCACACCCTTTCACAGATGCTGTAAACATACAAATGTTATTGTGTATTTACTCCTGAATGTTTACCAGCATCATTGTGCTAGATACAGTTGAATGCCTCAGCAAAGCAATGACTGCAACAAATCCTTGTTCTTTGGATACCCAGATCAGAGGAGCAGCAGGTTAGCTCCTGTTTCCTCAGTTCCAGCCGGCTTCTGATTAACAAAGGCATTAGTAATGACTGCTGCAGAAAACTCCGGGGGAAAATAGAAAGAGTGAGTTTGTCTGTTTTCCATGATTGGGAATTTAATTATAGTATGAAAAAAAGTACCAAGTAGATTTTTTCTGCCACCCTGGATTTAAAAAAATTGGAAAAATCTCTTTAAAAAACTGTCTCTGCAATGGGTCACCAGGAATGTCTCTGCATTGTTTGATTTTTATTGTATTTTTAGTTCTACTTTATTAAGTGCAAAGAGACACAGAAACTGTCAGGCTGGGTCAGACCCCAGTTCAGTGCTGTAGTCAGCACCAGCTACCTCAGAATGAATTGTGCAAACAAATACCCCAGGTATTATGGGGAGTTGGAATTACATAAAATTTACATCATATCAGTCATGGCTTTAAGTCTCTTGTGTTTGAAGATTTACATTCTCCTAGAACATTTAACTTGTTAAAAGTTAAATTTGATTTTGTCATTTTCATAGTTGTTATGCTGAACAATGTTTAGGTTTTTTCTATGGAAACTCATTATACTATTTTCTTTGGTAACAAATTCATAGATGGCAATTGCCCAGACTTGTTATGCTGGAGGAGGAATTTTGTTTACTCCTGGGCTAGTGCCCTTTTTGACCTGTCTGAATGTTCCCCCTTGTTTATGTTGTTATGTAACAAGGTGGTGACACTTTTCTTCTAGTCTGCAAAGTGTAGGATTTAATTGTCTAGATATCTAAAGGACCTGAAAAATGTGTACAAAGAGATGTGGCCTTTTTTTAATAAGGGGGAATTATTCAGAACATTATTTGAGCTCCTCTATATGGATGGGACTTTTGGTTAGTGTGGATGTCTGAGATGTGGTGATAATCTCCAAGTAAATTGGAAAATAGAGGTTGTACATTCGAATACTGAAAAATAAGCTTGAAAATACTGAAAAAATGGTTGAATGTTGCTTTATACGCCCTATGCCCTGTGTTGCCTACAAGTGAGAAAGTATTCTGAAAACTATAGGTGCAGAATGGCATTCACCCTCCTATGATTACTGGAACTGTGTGATGTTGTACTAAAAGTATCAGTTCTTGCTATTTTCTTTTTTTTTTTGTTGTTTAGAGAGTCTTCTAGGAAAAGATAATTCTGGGACCTCTAAAATTCCTAACAACATTGCCAGACCTGTGGTGAATGCATTTATGAATATTTACATGGAAGTTAAGATTTGGACTAAGTGTTAGGAGTGCAAGACACTGAACATTTCAATCTGGCAAAATCCTCAAATGTCTTTTCCTTTCCCTAAGATGCTCATATCCTCACAAGATCCATGATCCTTATTTTTTAAAAATTTGTGGCAAAAATATCCAAGATAAATTTAAATTAAAAACTGCTTCTCTTTCTCTACATTTAAATGTTGAAACATACCTGTAGCTGCACATCTAGGTATAGAATAAATATTTTAACTTTCTCTTCTATGTATAACATGGTCAATTGAAGGTTGATATTTTTTGAAATTATTACTACAGCTATATCTGACAGCATTTTATAGCGTAGAAAGAATTCATCATCCTGATTTCATCAAACACAACTTTGTGTAAAGGCCATTTTGCACATCCTGAGGTCTTAGGTAGGGGTGATTGGAAAAGTAAATCATCATTCCATCTGTATTACTGGATAAGCCTCTTTTCAGTATAGGGAATATAGAAGAGGCTGCATTTCTTCTACTCCTTTTTACCTAGGTTTGCATCATGTATTAATATGAACTGTAATTTATTGCTCTTTAGCCATCATTGCTGTGTGTTCTGCTGTGTCTTCTCTGTGGCAGTGGGCCTTCCTTCAAGGGCAAGAAACTTGTATGGTCCTTAAACTTGGTGAAATTGGACTGTGAATCACCTGTACTTCAGTGTTAAACTTGGCTCTTTATTGTTTTATTGCCTGATTGCTGAAGCCTCTGACAAATTAAAGGCAAGACCTTATCCACAATCATATCCTGAGTTTAGCTGTTCACAGAATCATGGAATATTCTGAGTTGAAAGGGATCACAAGGTTCATTGAGTCCATCTTTGAAGTGAATGGCCCATAGAGGGATTGGGCTGTGGCAGTGTTAGCACCATGCTCTATCCAGCTGAGCCAATCTCTCCTGTCTCTACATCTGCCACAGCTTGGTGGGGATGGCCTGGGGGAAAGGCTTGTTTCAGCCTTTGTGCTGTAGGGGCAGACACTGAGGATCGGTGCCAGCCTGTACTGCTGTGGTGTCACCAAGCAGTCAGAGGTGACCTAGAGCTAGCAGAGCCAAGGCTGTGTTGTAAGCCTGACCTCATGTTCCCTGATGCTCTGCTCCCTGCAGGCCCTGTCTGTAGACCTGCTGTGAATCTTCTCTTCACTCACCCTTACTGAGGAGATTTTGGCTATATTCTTACAGCAAATCATGTATTTACTGGTGGAGGGGAAGGGGAGATGTGTGTGCTGTAGATGTCTCTTCTCACTGCCTTTTTTATTAAAACTGTCTGATGTGGCATGTACTACCTGATGTAAATATATCCATGTGATTAGGTAAACTTGCCAGCTTTTATCTGGGTTGCAGTTACCTTGTTTAGGGCCTGTTTCTGTAAACAGGAGCACCCAGGCATCTCCCCATCTCTGACTGTTTTCAGGCAGCAGTGACAAAGCAACATCTAATTTAGCTACAAAATTTAGTAAGAGTGTCATTCACTGTCAAAAGTACTTTTGTTGGCAAAGAGCCACGGGGAGCCACCTCTAGAAATTGGGTCTCCCTTGTATTTTTGAGGATGTGGAAATGGATGACATTAAATCATGGGCTATAATTCAGACAATGAGAAGTTTGCAGACTGATTCTGTAAGTAGAAAAATCCCTTGAGGAAACACATTATGTCTGTCTATAAATCTGTCAGTCAGAAGATTAGAGAGTCAGTCAAAAATGAACTTACACAAATGGCTTAATAGTAAAGACTGTGCTAATAGAGGTAAGAAATTTAGCTGAAGTCTTTTGCTTAAGGTTATGAAAATTGGGTGACTTTGAAAAATTGTATTTCTTTTCTAGAAGATGTAGTAGAAAAATGTTCTGAGCTATAATTAGTTGAACATGATGCTTCTGTTGCAACATTAGGAATAATCATAATTACTTAAATTCGTGGTTGGAAGAATCCCAATGTGCTTAGCATTTGGTTATATATATTTGGATAACATATATAGCCTTTAGGGCTCAGATTTCAGAGTGGGACTTATTGATTATAATTTGTAATTGTGTGACTATTATACTGACACAATTAAAGAATGAGCCAATGTGAAACAGAGGTGCTTCAGATGACATTTTGAATCCTCAGTGCTAGGAAACACAGACTTAGGAGCAGGTTCTTTTCATCATTTTTGCTATCTGCATACATATATATATGTATATGTATATATATATGTATATAATCCCACTCCCTGTAGTTAGAGTTTGGAAAGTCCTGCACTACCAAATTTAGTTTTTAATAATGTACATTCCTCTAGAAAGGTAAGGGAAATGCAGTGGCTGCTGCTTCTTCCTCCTGTTTTTGGTAGAGTGCATCCTCCTTTTGAGAATGAGTTTTTCTTGAGAGGGTGGAACCAGGTTTTGTCTTGCTTCAGAGCAATACTAACACTGTTCCACTGATGGAGAGTGCAACAAAGGGATGTGTGAATGCCCTTAATCTGTAGTTGACATTCATTTAGGTAGCTCATCTTACATTGTAATTGGTGTAATCAACCCTTGCTAAAATGACACATATATTTGGTTTATTATTTGTTATGAAATACTTGCACCCACAGTGTGAACACTCCGGTCACATCTTTGGGGTGGGGT